TCTACGGTCTCCGCCAGGCACCCCGTGAGTGGCACGACACACTGAGGACTACGCTTGCGGCTCTTGGGTTTGCTCCTTCTACTGCTGACCCGTCGTTGTTTCTACGCACCGACACCACTCTGCCGCCGTTCTACGTTCTCGTGTACGTCGACGACTTGGTCTTTGCTACTGCTGACACTGAGGCACTCGCCCACGTGAAGTCGGAACTGCAGAAGAGATACACGTGCACAGACTTGGGTGAGCTGACAACCTATCTTGGCTTGCGGATCACCCGGGACAGAGCACAGCGCACCATCACCTTGACTCATTCACACATGGTGCAGCAGGTCCTTCAGCGCTTCCGCTTCACGTACTCCTCGCCTCAGCCCACTCCTCTGCCTACTGGTCACTCGCTCTCAGCTCTGCCTTCGGATGAGTCCGTAGAGCCGAGTGGCCCGTATCCAGAGCTTGTGGGCTGCCTCATGTACCTGATGACCTGCACTCGACCTGACCTTGCATACCCTCTTAGCATCCTAGCACGCTATGTCGCTCCTGGCCGTCACCGGAAGGAGCACATGGATGCCGCTAAGAGGGTGTTGCGCTACTTGTGCAGTACGTCGGGCATGGGGCTTGTGCTTGGAGGACGGCGCGACGTTGTCCTCACTGGACACTCAGACGCTTCTTGGGCTGACGACCAGGCTACGCAGCGGTCGTCTCAGGGTTACACCTTCAGCCTTGGCTCTGGTTCTGTTTCCTAGCGTTCTACACGCTCTTCCTCTGTTCTCAGCTCCAGTTGTGAGGCTGAGATCTACGCCACAGCCATGGCTGCCCAGGAGCTACGCTGGCTCACCTACTTGCTGATCGACCTTGGAGAGCGGCCTCGTTCTCCTCCAATGCTGTACGTCGACAACAAGGCCACCATTGCCTTGTGTCAGGAGCACAGACTGGAGCACAGAACGAAGCACATCGCTCTGCGCTACTTCCTTGCTCGAGAGCTGCAGCAGCGTGGTCAGCTTCGTCTTTCGTACGTGGCCACTCGGGCCAACACTGCTGATGTGTTCACCAAGGCGCTTCAGCCTTGTGATCATCAGCGTTTCTGTACTGTTCTAGGCCTTGTGCCTACTGTCCCTCACTTGCTCACTTCTTGACTCTGCTTGTACTGTGATCTCTTTTTATATACCTGCATGCTTACATTTGCTAGGTTGTGATCACTGTACCTCTTGTTATATTATCAAACTGCATGTAAACTGGTCTTGTGACCACTTGCTCGTGCTCGGAATTTGTGTGGCATCCTTGAGATCCACCCTGAGCTTGTTTTGCTTTGCTTTGACTGGTCTTGTGACCCCTTGCTCTCCCCCACTTAGCCTATGGGGGTGTGTCAAACATTATATGTTTACATTGTGTAGGCTATAGTGGGTTTAGCCTTAGGGGGTACAACATTCTAGGGTTTCCTACTTGTACTCCCAATCTTGTTAGTTCACACACACTTGTTCATTCTAACAGGGAGTAGCAGAACGGACAAACAGGAGCCTCGCCACCAGGATGAGGGCCCTGATGAAGCAGTCAGCCATCCCAACCAAGTACTGGCCATTCGCGATGAACCACGCAGTTCGGCTACACAACTTGCTGTCCTCCCGAAGCCTCGAGAACAACTCTCCCTACAAGGCGTGGACGGGCAGAAAAGCAGATACGCGCCTGCTTCAGGTGTTCGGCTGCATGGTACAGTACAGGCCACACACAGCAAGGACAGGAAAGTTTACTGACCGGGCTCGCTGGGGCATCCACTTCGGGATTGAAAAAGAATATAAGGCATGGATCGTGCTGGACTACGCGACACACGAGGTGACGAAATCACGTGACTGCATCTTCTACGAGAAGCTGACTCTACCACTGTTCAACGAACACCGCGAAGCTGACAGGGCACCGGAAAGGGTTTTTGAGGGACACCGCAACTTCGCAAGCTCACATGATGAAGCTGATCTGGCGGATGACGTGGACGCGGCAAATGTTCCCCAATTTGACAGCGCACCCAGCATCCCCCTTACAAGCCCGTTCCAGACTCCAACCTTCATCCCTCTACACCAACCTGATCCCGATGATACAACTCGCGCAGCCCACAACTTCACCAGCGACGCCCGCCGGTCACCCGATGCCGCAATAACTTCGCCAAACACCTCACGGGACACCATCCGCCCTGGTCACGACAGTGACGACGACGTGGTCGAAGTAACCAGCTTCCACGACTACGATCGCCTGCACTACGAAAAGACCAACGAAACCGGGCTCCGGGTCCTTGGTCTCGCCGTCGCAGTTCGCCACACCTCCCCCAAAGAACCCACCACTGTTCGCCAAGCTCTCTCCGGCCCCGACAGTGAGAAGTGGAAGGCAGCCATGGCCAAGGAGGTTGCGTCACTCAAGAACCGTGGCACCTGAAAACTCGTTCCCCGGACATCTGCGAAGGGGAGAAAAATTCTCAGCGGAAAATGGGTGTTCCGCATTAAAACGCTGGCGGATGGCTCCATTGACAAATACAAAGCACGATGGGTGGTGCACGGCTTTGAACAAACTCACCTGGTGGACTTCGACCTCACCTACGCACCAGTCGGGCGACACACCTCAGTGCGGATTCTCATCTGCATCGCCGCCATCAAACATCGACCACTCCGACAAATTGACGTCGGCAGTGCATTCCTGTACGCTCCGGTCGACGCAATCATCTTCGTCGAGCAGCCGCACGCCTTCGAAGAGAATGACGGCGCGATCTGCCTGCTCCAAAAATCCCTTTACGGGATCAAGCAAGCACCTCGACTGTGGCAGCAGTATCTGCATACCGTGCTCACGAAGCTTGGCTTCCAGCAACTACCACACGACCTCGGCATGTATCGGAAGGAGTCGCGCGGCAAATTCATTCTCCTCGTTGCCTACGTCTCCTTTACACTGGCGACGATACTGACATGATGGACCAGTTCGAAGCGGATATCAAGGAGCAGCTCGAAGTCACCATCAACCATACCGTCACTCAATTCCTGGGACTAAACATCACACAGTCCGCCTCCTCCATTCACCTCTCCGCCGCCAAATATGCCGAGACACTCGCGAAGAAATTCGGCATCGCACCTATCAACCTCACCACCCCCTTTCGCACACCTTCTCCTACACACGAACCAGACACCACGCCACTCTCCCTCGAGGATCATCGCCTCTATCAGCAGCAGCTCGGATGTCTTTTGTTCGCCGCCGTCACGTGCCGGCCCGATCTCTCCTACGTCGCAAGCCAGCTCGCTCAGTACATGAAGCGACCTGAAGGGGAGAACCTACAGGATCTACGCCGCGCACTTCAATACTTCATCTGTACTCCCGACGTCGGCCTCACCTACGAAGCTAACTTAACGGCGACCCTGCAGCTGCACGGCTACGTAGACGCTGACCATGCCGGAGATGCTGACAACAGACGCTCCCGCACAGGATTCGTCTTTCAACTTCAGCCTGCTGGGCTCATCTCATGGAACTCTCAGAAGCAGGAACTCATTGCACTTTCGTCAGCCGAAGCAGAGTTCATCGCCGCCAGCGTAGCTGTTCGCGAAGGACTATACCTGATGGAGCTACTGCAGGAAGCGAAAGTAACGATGAACGGGCACTTCACGTTACTCTGCGACAACCAGAGCGCGATCAAGATCGCGAACAAGCCCGGCTTCGTGAACCGAACGAAACACATCGCCCTTCGCTACTTCTTTGTCAAGGACGAAATTGACAAGGGCAAGGTCAAACTCATGTACTGCCCAACTGGTGACATGGCAGCCGACTTCCTGACAAAGAAGCTGCCACGTCAACAGTTCCAGCACTGCGCCAACCTTTGCGGGATCACCAAGAAGTTCCACGTGGCCCACCTTCAGGAATGAAGGGGAGTGTTGGAATAACCGAAAGGTTATCATGAACATTCCCGAAGGTTATCCACTGTCGAGTCTCTTCATAGCGAAGCAAGCACTTGTGTCAGTACCGCATGAGCTCATATAGAGCACGCGGAATGTCAAGGGTCACCCGAAGGTCAACAGTTGAAGACAAGTCAACGGTCGCGACCCTTGACTGCCCAGTAACCGCACAAGGCAGTTACGAAAGTGCAACATGGTAACTGCATAGAATGGTAATAGTCGTGGTTACTGTAGCAATGCAATTCAGTTAATAAGGGAATGTACCCCTCAGAGTACATGGCTAGCTAGGTTTGCTATTTATACCCTTGTACTTTATTTTATAATCATCTTGTTCTCTTTCAATTAACCAACAAGGTCACTACTGAGACTTCACAAGTTCTCTTTACACTTGGCAACTTTATCCTATCCACTACGATCCTGCAGTTATATCAATAGGTGGGTATCCCCTCTCATTTGGAACTCTAGCCTATCCCTTGGCCAACCTCCATTTTGGGGGTGCGAGGGCTGGGCTGGAGCTTGGCTAACCTCTGCGCGTGTGAGAAGGGACTTGGAGCTTTCGAGGGCGATGATTTTGAAGGGTTAAAGTAGCGTTCGACAGGCTAACACTAACCCTTCAGCTTACAAAGCGTTAAAGTCATTGACACCAAATTACGGGCTGACCGTGGAAAAAAAACCTTAGTCGAAACAGCCACGATGATGCCGCGGAAGGGCTTGCCTGCCTATCGAACAGGGCCACCTTGTTTTTGGCCCGTTTTGGGTCAACACGTGAACACCTTGGCTTAGCACTAGGATATTTGGAAGACTAGCAGGCTCTCACAGTAACACATTTCAACACCTACCATTCAAGGTGCAGCAAGACAAAATTGATACGTGCAGAATTTCACATCACAACAACCAGTAAGGCAATTAACAAGTGCATAAACATCACTGCTAGAGATTCTTGAAGCGCCTCAATAATCAGCACAGTAAGTGTGCCGATTTCCTAGTGTACCAACAGCACAACATGGCTCCATCCAGATTCCTGAGGCGCCTAAAGAATCGGCATAAGCAGTGGGACGTTTTCCACACCACATGGCTCCGCATTCTGCTCTCTTAGCAACCAAAGTTGCACGCACTAGACGGTTGCACGGCCAACACGGACCGCACGGAGTGCCCCTTGTTGTCTACCCACGTGAGGCTGCCAAACTTGAAAGATTGCGAAACCCATTTCACCACCACGGTCACCGTAAAAGTCTTTCGTTGTCCGGGTGCGATTGTAAATCTTGACGGCGACACTTTCACCTTCACTCCAGCAGGTGTCTTTATTCTCACCGTATACGTCGACGTGGTATCCGCGACATTCGTTACTGTCCGTGTAACTGAAACTTTCTTGTGCACTTGAGGCAGCGAGATAGCTGGCCGGTTGAAATTCTTCGCGGAAAGAGCCCTGAGAGAAGTTGTGCCGAACTCACCCTTCGCCCAGTTGTAATCCTGCCCGGCGAGAAAGTTTCTGAAGTCCTGCTCCCCAGCATCATAGGTTAACCCGGGGTCAACCACCCTACTAGGCACCACATGCCCCGCTCCAATCTCCCACGGAGTCGCAGCTCTCCCAAACTCGTTTTGGATCGCCCCGTTATTGGTATCAGTAGTGCGTGCTGTAGTCATCATTGCCGACATGATCTGCGAGGGCGTCCAATCAGGGCGCTGCTGGATGATCAGAGCAGCAATGCCAGCGATGTGTGGTGTGGCCATAGATGTCCCTGAAAGCGCTACGAACCATCCCCCAGAGCCGACAGTCTTGTCGGGAGCAGCAGCCCAGAGCTCAACCCCCGGGGCGATGATGTCGGGTTTGAGGATGGTGTTGGAGGGGTAGGCTGCTGGTGTGGCGCGTGATGGCTTGGCGAGCGGACCGGTGGAAGAGAAGTAGGCGATCACAGGGGCGGCGGTGGCTGCTGGGGAGATTCTGGCTGGGATGCGCGCTCCACTGAGCGTTGAGACTGTGGTGGCTGTGGTGTTGGAAGGGGTTTCAAAGGGTGATGCTGCTGCTGCTGCTGTTGCTGTTTTTGTTGCTGCTGCTGCTGTTGCTGTTTTTGTTGCTGCTGCTGCTGGTAATGCCTTTGTGGAGGAGATGGATGCACCGCTGCGAGAGATGGTGCTGCATGGTGGGGCAGGGGGGAAGGGGAGGAGCACAGGGACAGATGTTATGGGTGAATGGGAATGGGAGGAACAGGAGAGGAATGAATGTAAGTCGCTGAGTGTGCAAAGACGATTCTAGCATCACACCTCCTCCCGCTTCTCACCCTCGTCTCACCCTGCCTCACCACCGCCCTCCCCCCACAACCTCACCTTGCGCCCACAGTCGTGTATCTGCAGCGGACCTTGGAAACCCTTAACCTTCTTATCCCCCCAAACACATATCCCATCCACACCTGGCGCCCACAGTCATGTAGCAGGGCGAGAAGTTGCAGAGCGTGTGATAGCCCATGGGTGCAAAGACGATTCTAGCATCACAGCCTCCTTCTTTACACCCTCGTCTCACCATGCCCTCACCTCCTTCCCCCCCTTCCTCACCTGGCGCCCACCGTCATGTAGTAGGGTGCGAAGTTGCAGAACGTGCGATGGCCCTCGCCTCTGTCTTTTGAGAATTCTAAAAAAACACATCCCTCGCCTCTGTCCCCCCTCCTCACCTGGCGCCCACAGTCATGTAGTAGGGTGCGAAGTTGCAAAGCGTGCGATTGGTTGTAGGGGAGAATGGGCGGCCCTCGTTGCCTGCTGCAAAGGCCACAAACACCCCCGCCTGATGGGCGGAGGGAAAGGAGAAAGGCGAGAGAGAAGTGAGAGAGGGAGACGAGAGAAGGCGAATGAGAGGAGATGAGGATGAGTGAAGGAATCTAGGTGGTTAAACCTGTGCGCTCTCGAATAAGGAGAGGAGATACAGGTACGAAGGAGCACTCACCGCATTGCCACTCACAGCATTGCCATAAGGAGATACAGGTAAGGCTCATATTGCACAGCCACTCACCGCATTGACGCTGATGAAGGGCACGTCGTCAAAGTAGGTGTCAGTGGGACTGGCTCCGCCCAGCGACAGGCTCAGCACATCCACACCGTCGGCGACGGCCTGATCAATGGCTGAGAAGATGTCGGTGCTGGTGGCGTACAGGTAGCCCCCCGACTGCCAAAAGACCTTGTACATGGCCAGGCGCGCCCCTGGTGCCATGCCACTGGCTGTTCCCATGTTGGAGATCTGCACGTTGCTGTTGCCTGCTGCCGCCCTGGAGAGGGAGAGAGAGGGAAAGGGAGAGAGAAGAGAAAGGGGGGCACACACGTGTGGAAGGAAAATGAGGGGTATGCTTTCAACACCACACATCGTGCCGCCTGCAATGTTCACCATGCCCTATGCACCATGTCTCATGCACCATGCCCCATGCAACCTTGCACCATGCACCATTCACCATGCACCATACCCCATGCACCATTCACCATGCACCATACCCCATGCACAAAACCCCATGCACCATGAACTCACCCCGCACACCAGGTGCCGTGCCCGAATGAATCACGCGGGTCCCAGTCGGCTGAGAGGCCAATTGTGGTGCCGCCACTCTCAAACCCCGCGCAGGATTCAAGCACTCACCCCGCACACCAGGTGTCGTGCCCAAAAGAATCATGGGGTGACAGCCAGTCGCCTGAGAGGTCGATGGAGGTACCCTTTCTCTCAAAGCCATACACCATACACCATGCACGCACTCACCCCGCACACCAGGTGCCGTGCCCGAAAGAATCACGCGGCGAGTCCCAGTCAGCCGAGAGGTCAATGGTGGTGCCGCCACTCTCAAACCCCGCGTGGAACACGCCCCCACCGATGATCTTGTTGTTGCATGCGAAGTCGCTTGTCGTGGGACACGTGCCCGCCCACCCGGAAGGGAGCGTGCTGCTGTAGCCCTGGTGGGGACGAGGAGGGGTGGAGGGGGGTGGAGGGGCGAAGGGGAGGATAGGTAGTGGGTTAGTGGTGTGGGGCATGTGGCCAACCTTAGTTGGCACCTTACGTTTACTCTCCGTTCAAGTACGTAGTCTTAAATACGGGTTTACATTTACGGTCACACAGAAGTTTTTCCCAGCCTGCACTTTTCATTGCTGGGAAATCTTACAAAAGTAGGTACATCGAAGTTCCAACCAATACCACTAAGGTGTTGATTCACTGATTAGCAATTTATGTAATACGTTTCCAGTGGTGTGCGGCGCGGAGCGAAATCGTGTTCGCAACTCACAACGTGTCGTCGGATTTACACATCTGCAAGAGTTTTACACCGAAACTCCAATCCGCCAGCCATGCTTCGCTCAGTAGGCCATGCAGTCTAGTTCCTGCGACGATTAGCTTCGTCGAAGATTTCCAAAGCGTAGGAACCAAGCGCCTACTGGATTTCAGCACCTAATCGTGTTAGCGCTCGGAAAGGTAGCAGAATGAGGCTTCGCGCGCAACCTGCGCTGGGAATAATCGCTTCCATAGGTCGGAGGCGATGGGGAGACGATGGGGTTTGGATGGGGATCGGGGGGAGGGGAGGAGGGGGAAGGGAGGAGGAGGATGAGGTGAAGGGAAGGGAGGGAGTAGCTGAGTTGGGGGATGGGAGTGGCTGATGGCATGGTGATGGTGGTGGGGAGAAGGGACAAGAATGCGAAAACTTCTGTCGGAAGGGGCGTCAGGTGGACGAAACGAGAAGGGAGAAGCGCGGATGGTGAGGCGCGTACCGTGTCGTCAAAGGAAGCGTGCTCGGGCCATATGCCGGTGTCCACGATGCTAATCACCGTGCCGTCACTATTGAGAAACGTGTTGACCCTACTGGGGCCAAGGTGATGCACAACCTACCGTGTCGTCAAAGGAAGCGTGCTCGGGCCATATGCCGGTGTCCACGATGCCAATCACCGTGCCGTCGCCTGCGCTGCTGGGCCCGCCCGCGTCGGCCCAGAGCGACCCGGGCAGGCCGAGGAACTTGTACGAGTGGGTGGTGGCGGGGCGCAGCACGCGCGCCTGCGTCACGGAGGCGACGGATGGATGCCTCTTTATCCGCTGCACCTGCGCCGGCGTGAGAGTCGCTGAGAAGCCGTTGGACGCGTGCATGTAGCTGAGACGGGCGGAGAGGGGAAAAGGGGGAGAGGGGAAAGTGCGGAGATGGGAGAGGGGAAGATGGGATGGCAGGGAGATGGGGAGGTGAGGAACTTGTACGAGTGGGTGGTGGCGGGGCGCAGCACGCGCGCCTGCGTCACGAACGCCACGGACGCCACGGACGGGTGCCGCCTCATGCGCTGCACCTGCGCTGGCGTGAGCGTCGCTGAGAAGCCGTTTGAGCGACACGTGCACGTAGCTGAGAAGGGAGGGCGGGCATACTGGGGAAGAGGAAGAAAAGTACATTTAGGGAAACGAGGGGCGTGAGCGTCGCGGAGAAGCCGTTCGACGCGTGCGCGTAGCTGGCGCGGCGGAGAAGGGACGGGGGGAGCGGGGGAGGGGATGGGGAGGGTGGGAGTGTGGAGGAAACGGAGGGGAAATGAAGCAGTGGAAAGGAAGGGGACGGTGGGAGAAAGGGGAAGCCCGTGCAAATCCTTCGTCAGAAATAACCCCTCATTCCCCTCACCTATTGACCATCTTCCCGGCGCCCACCCTGCTGTCCCGCAGCACGGCCTGCTGCATGCGCTGCAGCAGCTGCTTGAACGCCCTCACGGCCGGCGCTCTCACGTTCACCCGCGGCCGCCGCAGCCGACGACCAAGCCGTCCTAAACCACTGGTAGTAGCCGCACCAGCGGCGGAGGCGGAGGAGGAAACAGAGGCGGTACCAACGGCAACGGAACCGTGGGCGGCGCCGTCTGACGTCGAGTCTCTCGCGTTGCCGTTAGGATCGCTGTCCCAGACGGCCGTTGCCGGGAACCCGGGAAATCCGCCGCGGTACGAGGCGACCGGCGGCGCGGAACGTAGGCGGACGATGTAGAGCGACGAGACGTCGGGGGGGGAGGCTGCGGGGGATGGAGGGAAGGGGCGAGAGAAGGCAGGTGAGCGGGGCAGCATTTCAACACGCCTGAAATGCCCCACCTGAAAGGTACTCGGTGAAAAGCTACTCGACAGCAGCAAAATTGCCGCGCTTTACAACTGTCATCGAGTCAACAGCCGAATCGTAGCAGCTTCTAAGTTACCACGAGAGTTGATCACGCGTGCCGGCTGTGCGCGTACCGTTGGTCGGGCGGAGCAGCGGCGCTGCCAATAGCGAGACGACGATCAGGAGGAGGAGGAGATACGGGGTTCGTGTTTCGCGGCGGGTCTGTACAAGGTTGCAGTGTGAGCGGCATTGTGAGCGGTAGTGCGAGCGATGCGATAGAAGTGGTTGTCTTTGAGAATGGACGAGCGGGAATGGAGGCCCGGGAAGGAGGCTAAGCGAGCCAGAGTGTCTTTGCCGTGAGGCCATTTTCAAGCTCTATATTGGTCGCGCTTTGGTATTTCAGACGCTCTGTGACCGTACGAGGCAGGGGACGGTGTTCTCTCGGATTGCACGCAAATCTGGTGTGGTGTGCGTGTCGGCTACTGAGACCTCTGCGAGTTCAATACCCGAATCCTCTTCGTAAGCCAGACCTCGTGCTGTGCTATGCTGACTGCAGTCACTTCACGGTGTGGCAAGCAGGGCTGTCGCTAGGTCTGGGTCCAACCCGTACAAAGCTAAGCTGCCCCGAAATCAACCCTGAAGGATCCGGAAAGCGGACTTAACATTCAGGGCATTTCTGTTTAGATTTGAGGATACTTGCGTAAAAAAGCTTAGATCATCGAGCTAGACACGTTAGGGGAACGGGAGGGACTGGTGTGGTGTTACTGGGAGGAGGGGAGAGGGACCAGTTCGCGGTCTAAGGTCAGAAAGAAAGGGGGGAGGGGAAGTGGGAGGGGGGGACAGGTACGGGAAATCCGGGGAGGGCCAAAACCTGTCCGTTAGGAATCCGGGCCTGGGAAAAACCAGCCCTGAAAATCTCCGAGCTGATCTGAAACGAACCCTGAATTCTCAGGGAAAACGGACAAATGTCCTTGAATCGACAGGCCTGGTGGCAAGCAAAGCAAGCAACAGAAACACAGCTTGTTTGAGTCCAATCATTATCCCTTTCACGTTTCCCTCGCTCGCCTGCTTCTTCCGGATAGAAACACGTTTCACGTTTCTTTTCGCAGAAGACCCTACCCAACCATTTTCGTGTTTAGTTAGACCGCTCAATATTGAATCAAAACCTTTTTCAACCGCATCGTATTCGGACGTACTCTCCAGGCACGCGCTGAGTTTCGGTGGGAAGGGATGAAAGGGAAGGGCGACTACACGAAAACCCGGTTACCCGGTCGTCAGTCACAGCTCTGGTCTGGGAGCTGGCTCACACACACACGACACGATTCAACGCTGGGCTGCGGCGGCTGCGCCTGACCGGGTCGCGGGGAATTGGCGGAATGGAGAATGGAGAACGAGGAAGGGGGGGAAGAATGAGGGATCAAAATATCGTTGTGCGGTGGTGACCGAGGAAAAGCAGAGTGGGTTGGGGGCAGGCCTCAGGTTTGTAAATACAGGTTTCAAGGGTTTTACCACCCTGTCACGATCAGGCCTCGTGAAATTTTGACCCTTGTTTTGCAGTTGTTGGTTCTTGTAGCACCCCGCCTTGGCCGAGTTCGGTAGTGGTGGCAGCACTCTGACTGAGTTTTTTTTCCCCTCAGCTATTTGAGAACTGGCTAAGTCCTTGCCGGGAGACACTCACACTACACCAGAACAAGCATCGGATGTGCTCGAAAACTGGCGAAGTCTTTTCCACAGAGACACTCACACAGATTGGACCGCTGCAGCCTAGTTTAAATATAACCCTGCACAGCAGACCAGAAATTTTTCAACACCCTTCCATTTCTAGGGTACGACGCGGCAGCAACACTGCAGTGGCAGTGTGACTTCGACCTGAAACTTTGATTTGACAGGGTGGCCCAAAACGAATCAAGACCCCTGGTTGGGGGGAGTCGATGGAGGGAGCTGTGGTCAATTCACGCGGTGGTTGGAGGTTGCGCGGTGGTGGTGTGGCAGCGGCACGGGACCAGGCTGGGTGTTTACTGTAGTTAGTTTGGTTCGGAGAGAGAAGATGGGGGAAAAAAGCAAGCTGGCTTTTGGGTGATTGGGTGGGTAGGGAGAACTGGGGAAACGAAATCGCTGTTGCGGGGAAGCTCACTTTTGCGGCGCGACTGGGCGCAGATTTACGACGTGTTGCGACCCACACGGTTTGGGTCGACCACCCCCCGAGCCATCACTTCTAGGAAGGCTGCATCACGGGTCTAGCCGACCAGGTCGAGCCAACCAGACCCGGTTGGGTCTGCCTGACCTGGGTCGACCAGGTCGGCTCAACCAGGCCAACCAGACCCAACCCAATCGAGCTGGAGAAGGTTACCATAGTCTGCGAACTTTAGAGTTCTCGCGCAAATGTCGCCTCAAATTCGCCGCGCAGAATGATACCCTGTAATATCGATGCGAATTTTCCAGCTCACCATCCCCCCGCCCGGCAACTGCTTTCCTGGTCCCTCGAGGATGCAAGGAAATCGACGGGAAATTCCGTGATTTCCCGAGTCGCGTTTCCGAAGATCTGGTCGGGTTGGGTTTAGCCGACCAGGTCGAGCCGACCCAACCCAATCTCTTTGGGTCGCAACACGTCGTTAGATGGCAAACAGCCTTGATTTGGCGGACAACAGCCCACCACTTGTGACAGCAGAAGACGACACATTCCCATCAAAGGCCTGACAGCTGGTCCTTCGGCGACTCTTAGGACTCGTATTGCGTGACGCAAGGATCACGTTTCATCTTCAAAAAGGATGGTCATGCGGTAACGAGTTTCAAGTTATGTAGACAAATCTTGACGGTTAGCCGCACTCGGTTGATATGTTTTCCTTATCACTCGAGGTTTTGTGAAGGATTTTCAAAGTTGATTTCGCTCTAGCTTGTAGTAACATTCAGTAGGAACACTCCCTGGGTTTGTACAGCTGCCACCATCCAGGACACAGGGCAGGTTGTGGACATGTCTGCTGGACGTGTACAGTGTCCGTTGATGGTCGTGTACAAAAGATGCTCGTTCTTGACAGGTGCGTCAAGACTCGCCATCACTTGCTATTTGATGAAGGCAGTGATTCTCTGTAGAAATATAATAGTGTAGTTTATAGGTTAAAACTATAAAACTCTTTGGTGGTGCATCTTTGTGCCTACCTTGCCCCTATTTCTTGTACCCCACTTTTCTAGTCAACCCCCCCTCTTTCTCCTTTTCTCCTTCAATGATACAACTTGGATTTCGCTGTAATGAAGGAACATGCCCCTTAAAGTACATGGCTAGCCAAGCCGTTTCGTATTCCCTATTACATATACATAAAAAGGAGGGGAATGGTGATACTAGGTCAAAGGAGGGGATACAACCAAAGTGTCGAGAAAGTTTTATACCCCCTAACATGCAACTCACTAGAGCATAGATATATCTACAAACATAGTTTGACACACCCCATAGGCTAAGTGAGGGGCATCAAAACAAGCATGACATGCATATGGTCACAAGACCAGTCAAGAAAAGAAACACAGCAAGCTCAGGGTGGATCATGAAGTCACCACACATTCTGAGCACAAACAAGAGGTCACAAGGCCAGTTCAAGAGTTCGCAAACATGTACAGCAATCAACAAGAGACAAGACTCCTGTAGTCAAGAGCCTACGTCAACAAGGCCTAACTACAAACAGAATTTTTGGTGGTCACCAGGCGGAAGGGCCTTGGTGAAGATGTCTGCAGTGTTGGCCTCTGAGGCCACGAAATCCAAGCGTGCCTGGCCACGTCGTTGCAACTCTCGCAGAAGAAAGTACCTGACGTCGATGTGCTTCACTCTGCTCTCCAGTCGAGGCTCTCGACTCAGGAGGATCATGGCCTTGTTGTTAGCAAACAAGGTCGGTGCAGAGCTCGGCCGCTCACCAAGGTCGGTGAGCAAGAAAGTCAACCAGCGAAGCTCCTGCGCTGCCATGGCACCGGCGTAGATCTTTGCCTCTGCACTAGACGAAGCCACTGACGACGACCGAGTAGACCTCCACCACACAGCTCCAGCGCCCAAGCTGAAGCAGTAGCCCTGAGTGGACCTCTTTGTCTCCACGTCGACGACATAGGAAGAGTCGCAGTGACCAGTCAGTATAACTGGCTGTGTCCCTCCAAGCACAAGTCACATGCCTGATGTAGTCGCCAGGTACTTCGTCACCCTCACAGCAGCTGTCCAGTGAACAGGACGGTGTCTCGCAGTCGCAACAAAGCGAGAGAAGCCCACAAGCGAGGTTCGGACGAGTACAAGTCATCAGGTACATGAGGCAGCCGGCAAGCCCTGCGTAGGGACCACTAGACTCAAAAGGCTCGTCGGTAAAAGGGTCGGTGAGTCTGTAATCAACGGCAAGAGGAGTGGGCTGTGTGGTGGAGTGCTGAAGCCCGAACCGCTGAAGGACCTGCCGCACCATGTGTGACTGTGTGAGTGTGATGGTGCGAGCAGCTCTGTCCCTGGTGATCTGCAAGCCAAGGTAGCGGCGCAGCTCACCAAGGTCAGTGCACGTGTGTCTCTTCTGCAGTTCGGGCTTCACCTCAGTCAGTGCAGTCCTGTCTGCTGTAGCAAAGACCAAGTCGTCAACGTAGACGAGGACGAAGAAGGGTGTGGGCCAGAACGAACGAACAGCGACGGGTCGGCGGACGAAGGACGAAACCCGAGTGCAGCAAGACTAGTGCACAGCATGTCGTGCCACTCACGAGGCGCCTGGCGGAGACCGTAGACTGGTCGCCTCAGGCTCCACTGGGTCCCAGGCGGGAAAGTGCCAGTGAAGCCAGGAGGACGACGCAACCAGATCTCCTCGTGCAGATTGCTCTGGCGAAAGGCGGTGGAGAAGTCGAGGGAGTGCAACTCGTAGTCTCGTTGTGCTGCAACGTGAAGTAACATCCAAAGAGTCGTCATCTTCGGGGTCGGAGCGAAGGTCTGGAAGAAGTCAACTCCCTCACGCTGACTGAATCCCTTAGCTACGTAGCGCGCCTTGAAGACATGCGGCGATCTAGGCGGCCGCTTCACCTTGAAAATCCACATGACGTCGACTACGTTCGCCCCGGGTGGGGGAACTGCGTCGACGTAAGTGTGGATCTCCAAGACGCCATCTCTGACTCCATGGCCGCTATCCACTGAGAAGCCCACTGCCTTGACACTGCCTCACGGTACGTGCGAGGAGTCGGTATGTCAAGGGCGTCGGGGTCTCCCTCAGGAACTAGCAGCATGGCACAAAGATGGGGAGAAGCGGCCGC